CCCACCTCAGTCAGCAGGATGAGAAAAAGCTCTTGTAGAAACCTGTTGTAACCACACACACCCTTCTCCATCAAATTTCTCAGTTATTTTCAAACTTGTTTCTGATGATTTTTTAACGAGGAAAAAAAAACACACTCAAATTTTATTTTGCATAAAGACCACTGAATAGTAAGAGCCACCTTATCACTTTAGAGCAACTGACTGCTCTTCTGGAGAATTTGCCCTGGTCCACATAAACCCACCTGACCTGCTGGTCTCTAGTTATACCACCTGATTCTTTCTCAATATTGGCAGAATATTCTCTTTTTCCCCATTCCTTTAAAATCATCAGATACCCAGATCACCAGATCAGAGACTCTGCTGCTTCTTGCAATATCCCTGGGTACCAGCTCTTTAAACCTACTAGGATTTAAGTATTCGGTATGTCAGCTGATTTTAACCCCCTGGCTTGCTTCTTTTGAGAGACCGTGGTTCACCATCCCACCCTATCACCTCTCTCCATGTGCCTGTTGATTCCCAAAGGACAGAACGGGCACGTGAAGCTCGCTTTCTTTAGAGAGAAGTCACAACCAACCTCCAGGCTGTCCCATGAGCCCTCTGAAATGCCACATCCGCAGGGTGTACAAGTCCACAACCCACCTTGAAGACCAGGTGGCATCACCCTCTGGAGCCAACCAAAGATATTCCCACGATAAAGGGATGATGCTCACGAGGTAGACAGGCAGGGGGGGGGGCCCCACCCTGCCCTGCCCAGCCCACCAACCTCTCCAGCGCTTTGGAAAGCGCCCTTTCAGGTACTTGTGGGGCTCCAGGCACGTCCATGGCAAGAGATGGAAGACAAGTGGTGTGCAGCTGGCACCTTGAGGGCTGCAAGTGCTGCTGGGGTGGGGTGGCTGCGCTCCTGGCTGCCCGCCATCCTAACAATGGCTTCATCTTCAGCTCTTCCTGGCTACACATCCTGCACATGGCAGTCCCCAGCATCAGATGGGACAACAGAACTGAACCAAAAGCAGTTGTACACAGAGGAAATTTTCTTCTCTGGGGGATGAGCATCACCCAGAAGCAGCTTGAATCTCCTTGAGCAGAGGGCTTCTTACAGGCAGGGCCGGCAGGAGCCAGAGCCTTCTGCCCAAGCCCGACTGCACACCAAACTAATGTGGAAGCTCAGCTGCCTCCTTCTCCAGCCCTGTAAACCTCAGCTATTCACTGAAGGCAGTGGACATAGGTCCTTGGGCTGGGATCTCTCTATTGCTTGACCTCAGCATACTCCCAGGAACAGGGAAAAGCAAGTACAAGCTGAGAAAGCTCCTTTGTAGGAGCCTTTGAGGGGCTCTGCCTTCCTCTGGTGGGGGAAAACACACAGAAGGAGGTCTTTTAGCTACCTTGACTGCACAGCTTGATACTGCCTACATCATGCAGGGGTGAGCCCTGCCTGCCTCCATCATGTGCAGTTGCCGTCCCGCATTGCCAGCAGCAAGACCCAGGCTCCAATGCTGCAGCCAGCCAAACGCTGACATATTTGAGATTGGGAAGAGACACACAATCAGCAAGGGAGATGTCAGGGGTTGAGGTTCAAAACCATTTATTGAAAAGAAAAGGACAGAAAGTTCACAAGAAACCAAAGCTGGACGTGCAGGAGGAGGGGTGATGCTTTGCCAGGTTTCTTAAACGGTTGCTGTATTTCTGATCTTTTGAACAGCTTCTTTGTCCCGTTCCATAGGATGCTACTTTGGGAAGGTAAGAGTGTTTTTTTCCTCCAGTGAAGCAGCATAAAAATAAATCTGTCAACTCATATTATATACATACATATGGGCTGCATTTATTTTCTGTGGGAAAGTATCACTCTACCAGTACTTAACATTAAGTACTGGTAGAGTACTTAATTTTTCTTTTATTTCTAAAAGAAATTAAATAATTTCTAAAATTATTTCTTTATCTTACTCAAAACTTTTTTTTTTTGGTACAGTCAATCTTAAATTTTCTTAGGTTAGGCAGCTCCACAACTTACCTGCAATCTTTTTCGACACAAGTGCAAGGTATGGCTTATATGCCAGCCTGCTCCTGCTGTTTGAGAATGACCCTCACTGCCTGTTCAGGTACTTCAGACCCCATCACCCAGGAGAAAAACTGTCAACCTCTGCACATCACATACAGTACAGCAAACACCAGGGCATTCACTACAGGAGCTCTAATCTGGATCCTAACAAATGGGAACACCTGGGACACAGGGAAACCTGGGGTGGGGAAGGACCAGTGCAACACAAGAACACAAAAAGGGTTCGCTTTTTTTATAAAACAGGCAGTATCTGTACAACGTGGCCACAGCCACAGGTGCCTGGCTGGGATAGCAGGAAATTGAATACCAGAGGTGAAAATCTTTCCTGTCTTTTTTTTTTTCCCTGGACACACAAGTCTTGCATCCGTGTTGGATCATGCATGTAATGGCAAAGCTTTGGTGAAGCTGGAGGGCGTTAGCCAGCATAAACCTGCCTGTTCTTTGGGGCAAGGGCTGCCTTCCACAGGCACAGCCAGGGACTACCAAACTGTGGGAGCCAAGTGACTGCCACAGAAGCAGCCCAGGTTTCCAGAAGCCTGGCAAAATGCACCAAAAAAAATGCACTCAGTTAACAGCAGAACTGCAAAGACTGGTGAGATGAGGAGCTCACTCCCTGGCTTTGCAGCAAAGCATGGGATTTGGCACACAAACATCACACCTTCAACACAGCAGCCTGGCTAGTGATAGACAGCAACCCTTTTTTTTTTTTTTTTTCTTTCCAGAGCAACAGTTAGTCTCCAAACACCATTTAAAAGACAGCAGCAACAATAAAAGGTGCAAACATTTCAAAGCTGACTCTCAGTAAGATGTGCAGACACTCACCCCACCAAAGAAACAACAGCAAGGAGGTCAGGTGGGTAGGGTGAGATGGCAAGTGACAAATGTGCTCCGAGGTCCTCCAGCTGACCAAGAGCCACACAACTCTTGAACAACATGAAGCTGCACACGTCAGCTGACCTGTGTTACAGCCCAGCTTGCTCCCGTGCCCTTGGGAAATCTGCCCTCCACCCCTGCTTGCCTGCTACTGCCCTCCCTGGCCAAGGACACCTCCACCAGACTGGCACACAGAGCCTTGGCAGAGGCAGGATGGTGAAAAGTCGATAAAAAAAAAAAGGCAAAACCACCTAGCTGAGCCAAAGCAATCAACATCAAGAGCAATGGCAGGATGCGTGTGGCAGGGGGAAGGTTTGTTATCTGCAACCTGAAGGCAGCTCCTTCCTTGGGGAACAGTCCTGCTTTGTCCATTCCAGATCTTCTTTCCTAGAGACGGAATTCACCACTGGAGGCATGAGGGTGATCTGGCAGCACTTCTGCCCGGTGGTGTGGCTAGCAGAGGGGAGCCAGGCTCCCCCCCAGCACTGGGCGGTCTTCAGGGAGTCCCATGTTAGAGCTGGGCAAAAGACAGCCACCTTCGGGCTAGGAGAAGAGACGGAACAGAGTGTTGAGGCATTTTGCAGTGTTTTACTAGTACTGGTCAGGCTGATGCCTAGAGGAGGCTGGCAGGAGGGGGGCTAGGTCTGCTTCTGCTCTACCACCCCTCGTGGTACAGGGCCTTAGCAGCAACCCCATACACATCCCCACACCTTCCACCAGGTCCCCTCTTGCAAATGCCAACCCATTGCTTCATTGACAAGAGGCTGAAAGCACACAGAGGGCAAGTGCATCTAACCTCCTCAGCTGGCACTAATTTTCACATACTGATCTGCTAATTGACCTTTGCAGAACCTGACCAGGTATCACAGCCCTGAAGCTCACTCATGAAACCTATCTGTAAATCACAGGCATCTGGACTGCATCTGAAGCAAGCACCTGGGTCTTACACCCTTGCTGCACTCCTCTTGACAAGCCAAAAACCACATCAGCCAAATGAGATGGCCACCAAGCTCTAGAGATGTGTCAGGGCTGTTCTTCACTGGTCCTACAAGCTCCCAAACCCCTAGGCAGGGCCAGAGTTAAGCTCTTCAACAGAGCTAGAAGGTGCCTGGTGTATCAAGTTGGAGGAGACAAAGAACGGCAGGACCCAAGGTGCAGGGTATGGCCTTCAGGAAGAAGCAGAAGATGCTTTGACAGCATCTGATGACCCCAGAGCTTAACACAGAGATTCCTGTGAGACAGCAGGGCACCCTTCCAGTAGCAGAAGATGCCTGGCACTGAGAAGCAAGCTGCCCTGGTGACAGTAATTGCCAGTGCAGAGCTGGGTAAGCAGGGAAGGCAGGACAGATTGACCCTAGACATCTCACCCTGCCCGGTGGTGCCGTGGGCTGGAGAAGCATCACTGCAGAGATGGGCTCCTCCAGGACCTAGACCAGCTCACCATGCTACCAGCACCAGCCCAGGAAGTTGATGGTCCTTACAGACATGCATGGCATCTACATCACGGAGAAGGGAAAGGGCCAGGCAGCTTTCACCCCCTATGCTCTCCCCAAGCAGCCCTAGTTTGGGCTGTTGGCCCCAATCCCAGGGGAGTCACTTGCGAGGACAACCCTGAAGGGCACTGTGACACTTGGATCCAATGCTGGAGGGCTAGCAGCAGCTGGATGGGCTCTCAGTAGGGGTTGTGCACAGGCCAGGGGACACTTCCACAAAGGAAAGACCTTATGGCACAGAAGATCTTCAGCTCTCATGTGCTTTGTACCACCCATCAAAGCTTACCAGTGCATGGCTGGAATTACTCCCTGTACAAAAATGGCAATTAAACAAACCATATGGAAATCAGACCCAGAGACAGCCACCTTCTAAAGGGAAGAACCCAGAACTCTGGTCTTTTGCTCTTCAACTCTTGGCGCAAAGAAAAGCTCCTGAAGTCTTCATTTCTGGCCATGCACTGGCTAGAACAAAGCGATTCTTGTCTACCAACCAGACAGTGCATGCCTCCCTGTGCTGAGACCTCCAGGAAATAGCAGCACAGAAAACAGTGAGCACAAGAGTGGAGAAAGGCCCTTACCATGTGCCTGCTCTCCTGGCTCAGCGTGGAGGTGAATGTCCCATAGAAGTTCACAGGGGTCTCCATCGGGCTGCTGATGCTCCCTGCAGCTGAGCTCAGAAAAGGGTCCTGGGGCATGGAGGGAACAGGGCTCAGCTGCTTCTCAGGAACAAGCTGGTATGAGGAGGGTGGGGGGAAACTGGAGTATAGAGCCATCTCTTCCTGGGATCCCCTGCTGCCCACAGTTTCCATGCTGCATAATCCACTCAGGTTAAATTCTACTGTCGGCACACTGGGGCCTGAACCCAGGCAGCCCTGGCGCTGGGAGATCAAGTCTTGGCTGATACCATGAAAACCAGGCTGAGTTGGGGACCGCAGGAGTGGGGAAATATAATCCTGCCACGGGCTGGGCCTGCTGCTGGGAAGGTGGTGTGAAGCAGTCAGGGCTGTGGCCGCACAACCTGTTCATCAGCAAGTGACAGTGTTTCATCTGGCTGGGTGGTCCCATGCAGCCCTGGCACTGGCTGGGCAGGGAGAAGGACCGGTGATCATCCTCTTGGGTGGGACGCATGGCAAGGACCCTCCAGCTGCCGAGCCCTGGGTGGCTCCTGTGGGCAGGATGTTCCTGGGAGTGAGCCGGACGCCTTGTCCCACGAGGTGCCCTGCGCTGTCTGGAGGAAGCAGAGCAGACCCTCCTCCCCAGCTGGCCTCCATGGTGACCCATTGGCCGGCTCTTTCTCCTCAGCCAGCTCTGACAGCTGTGGGCACGGCTGCCCTGGCACAGAGTGGAGAGACTGTTCCCATGGCAAAGCAGGGGTCTGGCCTGGGGCAATACTGGGCTGCACCACATGCTGGGTCAGGTACTGCAAGTCCTCATTCTCCATGAGGGCCTGGTAAGCAGTGGTGCCTCCATGTCAGCTCGGTGATGTGCCTGGCAGGGAACAGACCTGTTGTTCTTCCTCGTGCTTGTTCACCAGAGTGGCGTGGATGTAGGAGACAATCTCGTTGCTGGTGAGGCAGTTGTTCAGGGACAGGGTGTGGTCAGGGCCCATATTGACCATCACCATTTTCTCATCCAGCAGCAGGAGCTCCAAGTCCTCAGCATTCAAGCCCAGGCCCTCCAGTGCACTGAAGAGCTCATTGTTGGAACAGCTCTCGTCACTCTTAATTGAGAGCGAGTCCAGGGTGGCCAAGAGAGGGTCCTCCTGCTGTAAATCTACCAGCTCCTCTTTGAGGCTGTCCCCCCTTGAAGATATTGGAGCAGCACCCATACTCCAGGCATCTCTTCCTGCATCCAGCAAAGGCACAGCCTCAAAATGGTCCACAAAATGGCTGCTGAAGGAGCGGTTAGGTGCAGGAGCTGGATGGGAGGCGTACACTGCGTTGTCCTGTTGCATCACAGCACCCAGCAGAGAACTGGGGTCAATGCCATTCTTCTGGGAGCGCCCTCCATGGCTGTGAGAGGTCTTCTTGGACTTGCTGGTTTTCCCTTTCCTCTGAAAAGGGTCAGGGAAGCCTGGGAGAGGGTAAGCGCTTTGGTATAAGAGCACCTCTCCTGTAGCAAAAGTAAAGGGAAGATGCATGGACCGTTTCCGGAGGTGCTCTCCTTCTTCATCCCTGCAGGGCAGGAAGCGGAGACTGCGGCTTGCATGTGCAACAAACACACCCAGCAAAGTGCTTCTGCAATGGATAACTGGGATTCTTGCAAGCCAAAGCCCCTTTGCTATGACCAGTGTGCATGTATCGAGCAGAACCACACACATCTACATTTGCATATGCGTTTACATACAAATGCACACACAGAGACATATTTTTATATGTATACACACACTTAAAAACACACATCTTCAGCATGACCAAGAGGATACTTAAAAATGCAAAGAGTAACAGAGCTCTGCCAGACAGAAGTCACTCCTTTGCCCTGCTTATCTATGCTGCAGCCATCCCTTAGGACAGGGCTGTTGGGCTGCTGCCAGACAGCAGCCACATTTGAGGTCCTTGCTGTTCCTCCACCCACGTGTCCCTACAGCTGCTGGAGAGCAGCCACCAGTCTCCCCAGGGTAAGTCTGGACAACTGCCCAGGATACTGGGGCAGGGATGTGAGGTGCAGGGCACTGCTCAGCACTCTCCCATACTTGCAGGGTGGGCTTGCAGAGGGGGATGAGGCTGAACGGCATCAAAGCACAGTGTCCTATGACTACTCCTTTAAAATGGCACAGGAAGCCATGACAAATCAAACATCCTGTCCTGCTTAGGGTGTCCCAGAGCCCACACCGATGGAAAAAGCCAGCCTGTCCCATCCCAGCCTGGGCTAACCCAGATGGCACTTACACGAGGGGTCTCTGTGTGACAATGATGTACTCGGGCTTGCCGTTCTTGTAGATGAGCTGGGCGTTAGCCTGCACCCACTTCCAGCGATTCTCCTTCGTCAGCAGGTGGAAGACTGTCAGGCTGCTCTCGCCCGTCTTCATCACTGCCGAGAGGAAGCATGCGTGCTGAGGGCTGTCAGCACGTTGCCAGAGGCAGGGTCACCTCCAGCGACACTGCCGTTTCCAGCCAGGGTAAGCAGGTGAGGTTACAGCAGTAGCATGGCTGGCACATGCAGGGGACACCACCCCAGCTAAATACCCCTCACTACACTCCACCCCAAGCTCCCTGCAGTGACAAGAGCATCACAGCAAAGCATAAAGCAAAGCATCCTGTGGGGAAAGAGCTGCCAGGCTTGACACAGCAACCAACGGAGCTGCCCGTAGTCCCAGCCCACTCAGCAGCCTCAGAGGTGGGTGCAAGTGACCAGGGAAGGGACTCTTACTCCCGACATGCTTCTCAGCACAGTACAGCATGTCGGCAGCATGGATGAACTGGTAGCTGGTGCCGCACATCCACAGCTCTGCCTCAGTGTAGCCCGAAACAATCTTACCCCTACAGGAGACCAAGAATGCACCTAGCTCAGAGGCAGAGCCAGTGTGGGACATCACCCAGGCAGGGTATGCAGTGGCACGCTGGAAGCCTGCAGCATCACCCTTCAAATCAGCTCTGCTGCTTACTTGGCATTGCATGCCAAGGGGGTGAAGTCCAGCTTGTGCTTCGTCCTGAAGACCATGTTCTTGGTTCGGATCTGCAGGATGGATGGGGGCTGCAAGGGGGTGGAGATAGCGAAGAGAGCAAGTTGGGGTGGCAGTGCAGACGCATCTTAAGACCTTTTGTTCTGCCCATGAAGGAATTTCATTCTGCCTTGAAGGTTTAAAGCCTGGGAAGAGAAGAAAAGTTCAGTGTCATGCAGAAAATGGGACAGAGAGAGAAGAGAGGGAGGAGAGCTGCATGGAAAGCAAGCCATCTCGCTGCAAAGTTGATGCAAATAATCCCTTGTGACTTGTCCCTTGCGACTCCAGTGATCCGCACTAAAAATAAGACAGAGGATCAAAGGGATGCTATGCTAAGCTCCCTGTAGCAGCAACCCACTGCTTTCTCCCCCTGCAGCAGCTCACTGCCAGCCCAGGGCTTGGACACACTGCAGCTGCAGGACTGAGCACATGCTGCTGTTGCATCAGGCCATCGCGCAATGCACAAGCTGCTTTGCATTTCACCTGAGCTGTATCACAGCCCCATCAGGGATCACAGTATTGCTTCTAAACAAGGGACAATCAAGACTCTTTGTATTGAGTTTCCAGACCAAAGCAGGATGAGAGGGAGAAATGGGGTTGTTACACCTGTGGTTATGAAGGTAAGAACCCTATTAACTTGCAGCAGAGAGGAGTAGGGATGAACACCACCTACTTGGTCTTAAGACAAGCCTTTAATACAAAAACCCAGCAAAACGTGTGGAGGAAAATCACTTTTGTTCAATATTCAGCATCTCTGACAGAAAACCCACATGGAGAGGTTGTAGGTACAGACCAAACCTATGAAAAACAGCAGAAATACCTCCTTGTTGAGACAGGCAGGTGCTGCACATGGCAGAAAGGAATGCCAGGTCTTTCAAGGCCAACTTTTATGCTCCAGCAGTGGCATGGACCCCTTGGGGTAAGCCTGCACCTCTCCTGCTGCGGAGGTCACAGTGCAGGTCTGTACTCACCAGGAAGCCAGAGGAATTATCCAGGAGGCAGCGAAAGCGGCACACTAAGCTCCTTTCCAGAAAGGAGGAGTTTTCTGGGGGCAGCTGATCTGGCTTGTAGGCAACAGCAGAAGAGCTGAGATTCTTCCCCTCTGTGGGAGAGAGGGACTGGGAAAGGAGCAAGCAAGGGTCCCCAGCAAGGGTTGGAGGTCTCCAGCATCAGGGGCTGTGGCAGTTTGCAGAGCACAGCAACAAAAAACCATGGAAAGCCACAGTGGTTTGGATGGACCCATAGCTTGAGCCACAAGGACTCAAGCCCCATGCAAGCACAGTGGCAGGGAGCTAGGCTTCCTGGTGTATGCAGGGAGCTACACACCTCATGCCAACCAGGATGCCTGGCTCCCAGTCCATGTTTGTCTTCTGGAGAAAGCTCACCCTTGGGAGTGCAGGGTTGGTTGAGGGCCCAGTGGAGGTTGTGTCTG